CTCGTTCCATCTCTCATTCTCGGTGTGGCGCAGCGACGGACAACCTAGAAATTCACCGGCCGCCGTACACACATGGGGACGAAGTAGACATTATTGCTCGCTCGTTAAAGGAAAAAAAAGGTGCCGGAGCCTCGGAATGCACGAAGGCAGGTGAAGGGCGCGACACACCGGGAATGATGACTAGGATGATGATCTTCTTGGCTTTTCCCAGCGCCTTTTGGGCCAAAATCCCAGTCGCGTTCACGGACCCCCAGACCTGGCTGGACACGTGCGCGCCCGCGCCTCCGAATTACGCAAAGCCACAGCTGCCACCGCTGCCACCGCCGCCGCCGTAACCGCTGCAGTCGAGCAATGGCACACATAAGGATCTTCCCACGCGGCGCGTGGGCCGATCGGTGCTATTTTCGCCCCAGCGCGTATTCGTGCGCGGCCGATTCGATAATGTCGTAACTTATCTTGCGCGCGCGCGCGCGACTCCCCGGACCACGATAACGGACTTGGTTTCGCACGCCAGCGAGGCTTTGCACGCCAAAGACCGAAAACCTTTCGCGCCGGATATACGAGCGCCAAGCGACGTCGTAATTTTAATACTAACGCCTTTACCTGCCACTTGGGCCGACTCCTAATGAGCCTTTAATCGCCTTAGGATTTTCTCGCGTGCGTCGAGAGCTTTCTACGAAAATCTTTATTTATGGATTCATTTGCATCTCCGGTTTCGAGCGATGAAAATCAATGTAATTCGCAGCCTTTTAAAGTGTACCATTCATGTTTTCACATTATTCCTTATTTTGAATGTCCACATACATATTTACACACGCGTTCTAATCTTAAGCTCAAAAACATTCTTTTTCTCCTACGTATAATTATGTATAATAATAAAATTTGTTCGCTCCGTACCGTCGAAAACTTGTTTATATTTTCAGAGAGTGGAAAAATTTTCTTTCTTTCTCTTTTCTTTTACTCTTTTCAGAGAAAAATATCAATAATGATATATTATTATTTAACCTTACATTTATACTTATGTAAACATTGTAGAAACAATAAAATCATAAGTTATTGCTTGTGATTCATTAGGCATTGCTAATCATTATAGTTTTAAAAATTTTATTTCTACTATTTTGAAGAAAAAGTTATTATCCAGCTTAAATATTAGGTCAAGGACATATATTTAAATACTAATAACTCACAAATTTGCTCTTGTAATGAATGCCTCATTATATTATGCATATTATATTTAAATTCTTCGATTATATTAACCGAAAACTATATTATTTATTGAATCGGAGTGCCTGCATGAGTATGAGTGTGAATTTAATTACTTGAAAAAGCATCGACTTTCATTTCTTGAGTTGAGCTAATAGATAATGGACAATTCTACCTTATGCATCAAATGCTTTGTTGTAGGAAAAATTAACATATTTTATAACATTATCGACATTTATCCAATAGAAATATTTCATATTCAAATTTCGTTCTCTCCCAAGTTTGTTTATCTTATAGGCTTGATAGACACTTGAGCTTTAATAATTACAATCGTATTGATAAATAACCTAACGTTCGTAATTTCATAATAATGCATTTCAAAATTGCAATAAGCTTTCGCATATTGATAAATATGCAGAGTATTAGTGAAGTATATGTGTGACTATTATACATTATTCATGGGATGCGAGCAATTAAGAAACAGCCAACTCTCAATAACCAAATATATTGAACATAAATTATCGATAAAGTGACACACAAACATAAATATTTAACGAATACAAATTAATACATTTGGTTGATGTGGTGCGGTGCTATTATAGCAAAGGGATATTGCACGAAGCGCTTGAAGTCAGGTCTGAGTTTTCGGATGTGCATTGGTAGGTGGGGAAAGTATCGTGGGTAACATCGATATTGAGGATAAATCGTGGATTTTTCCAGTAATTTCGTTACCACTGTACATAGACGAGAATTTTCATTGCAAAGTAAGGGGAAGAGAAAGATGAGAAGGAAGACAGGCAGATAAGCCGTTAGAGAAATAAGTTGAGAGTCCTCGTTGACTCCAAGTCGCATTTACCAGTTACGACAATGAAAGGCCCGACGCATGAAGTTGAGAAGCACTGTTTCATTGAAGGAGGCTGCGCGCGGGCTCCATTCACTTGCCCCTCCGCGGACTCCGCCGCGCCTCGCTAACTTCTCTCTCTCTCTCTCTCTCTCTCTCTCTCTCTCTCTCTCTCTCTCAAATACAAGCGTGTGAGCGCTCGAGCGCGTATACGCGTACATTCAATCTGTGTGAGAGTGAAGGAGTGGAGGAGGGAGAGAAGCTGAATCTCGCTGGCTGTTTGGATTTCGAAAAGGAGTCAAGCTTCGGGGGCTCGCTCGAACGAACGAGAATTCGTGGGAGCAGCGGGGTGAGGGAACAGGGGAGAAGGGGACAGGTGCGCGCAGGTGCCGCAGGGCGCGACCGGAAGTCCGATTCCACAGAGCTAAGGCCAGCCCAAACAAACGGCCTTCTCTCTTCTCGAGATACGAGCTTACTTTGGGTAACATCTCGCCACCCTCTCACCTCCCTCTGTCACTCACTCTCTCTCTCTCGCTCTCTCTCACTCTTTCTCTCTCTCTCTCTCTCTCTCTATCTATCTATCTATCTATCTATCTATCTATCTATCTATCTATCTCCCTCTCTCTCTCTCTCTCTCTCTCTCTCTCTCTCTCTCTCTCTCTCTGTGACTCTTTAACAAGCTGAGAAACACGTCATTAGGCAGAGGAAAATTCTTGAGAGAAAGTCAAGTGTTTTCGTGATTGTCACTTCGACACGGGGTATAAGGGATCCCGGAAATTGTTCGTGAACCCATTAACGAAAAATATAATCGTCTCGTGGCAATGATTTTCTTTTTTCTACTTTCTCGCTCGAGCCGCTCTTTTTCTCCATTCTGCCCTTTGACTAGGCGTAACGGCATCCAACAGCATCCCGTCTCCTCGGACATCGACTCACCAACAAGAATTATACTTTCCAATGAGAAACATTTGAGAACATTCTTTCGGCACTTATAGCTATTATTATTAAATCCATCACATTTAAAAGTTGAAACACGCGCGCACATGGGAGGAGAGAGAGAGAGAGAGAGAGAGAGAGAGCGAGAGCTATATATTTCAACGTATTATGGGACTCCACTTTGGAGGAAAATCTTTTAAAGAATGCCTTTCTGAAATACCAGGCAATTGTTGTCGAGTGACGCATCAACAGGTTAGGACGAAAAAAAGGCCAATTATAGGGGGGAAAATGAAGAGAAGAAAAAAATCATGGAAATGAAAGGCCGATATACTTGTAGGAATAATTTTATTAATCAAAGCCGTTGAATATTTGATTGGTGATTGAGCGTAGGGACGAACGATTTTGCGATTTTGAGGACTCGGAATGCCCGTAAAGCAGATACCGATCGCCAAGTCGTACGACCTCGCGGCATAAAGTCGTTCAAAAATCCTTCCGCGAAGCTAACATCCGCTAACATCCGCGAAAGATAAGAAAGACTATAATAGGCGTATAAACTTCACCTTTGCCTTTCAGGTAAGCTGTACGCGGTGTTCGGGAGACGGCAGGGCCGAGTCATCGCAGCGGACAGCGCCGGCTTCGGGGGACAATTCCGCGTCCTGGCTACGCTCCCTGTCCCCGAGAGCTTCCAGTTGGCCAGCGAGCTGCGCACTCAGACATCCGGACTCGCCAGTCCCCAACTCGTCTTCAGCCACTGGGAGGTAAGTCCGCTCGGATCCTCGGCCGCCAGATCCCCGCCCCTCCCTCCCTCCCTCCCTCCCGCCGGCCCCCCTCCTATCCTACCAATCGCCGCTCCCAAGAAAGTCGATCGCCAGCGGCCATACCACTTCCGCTGCGTTTTTTTCTCCGCCGCGGGCTAATAATTACGTTATTCAAATTCCTCGGCCGCAGCGGCGAAAGTGACACTTTTCGCACTCCCACGCGGACCGCGCGATCCAATGACCGCGCGCACGCCCGATCGCACTTAATTGCGCTAATGAAGAAACGCCGATCGCCGGATGATGATTGCCTTATATTGAGATGCCAATCGACGATCTCGCGGGAATCGGCCTTTTTCTCATCTCGAAACCATTTCCCCCTTTTTCTTTTTCAATCGGCCGTTTTATGCAAGAGCCCACCGACTCGTGATACATCGGCGCGCTCCTGCCTTTCTTTACGATAGTGCTGCTAATGCCTTATGTAGGAAAGAATGGAGCGAGACGCGTCATCCGACAATTAAAGGCTTTCCTCCTTACTGAGCGAGCGAGCTACGAGTCGACATGGATGCCAATGATTCAATCGCATGCTGGATACTCGAGTGGGGTAACGGATACTTACGGGGCAAGTAAGTGGCGGCTTTTCCGTCGGGACCCCGGATGCTCCGGCCTCGAACAAAAGCAACTTTTTCTTTCTCGTTCTAATGCGCTCGTTCGTCATTAATTTCTCCTAATTCGCTCGTTAGCTTTCATCCACCTCCTCTTAACTCGCGGATGACTTTTCTTGGCTTACTCATTCGTTCGTTGGTTAATGGCACCGATGCTCGCCGATTTCCACGACACAATCTTTATATGCCACTTTCTTCATATTACAAATAAACCATTTGAAAAGCTCACTATTCACCGCGCTCGAAACTTGTGCGTTTTTAAACATTCCTTACCTTTATACACAATCCTCCCTCTCAAATTAACAATTGCACACTCGCAATACATTGTGCATTAATAGAAATAACTCACTATGACAGATGCGATATTTGCTTTGGGCGACGAAGACGTTACCAACTCTCGTACCAACTTTAATTCATAGGCCAACCAGTGGTAGGACAATGCAGTGAATGTAATCACTCACTAGTCTTTCTAGGTAAACGTTTCGCTCGTCCGGGAAAATCATTCTTATATCTGAACAGGCCTGTGTTACTTCGTTTTTTTTTTTTTTTGTTTTTTATTTTTTTTTTTGCTCTTCCTCTTTCCTGTTTTTTTCTCATCTTTTCTTTTACTTTTTCTTTTTCATTTTCTTTTTTTGAATAAAAATTTCAATGGACGCTATTTAGAAGCGCAAAGTAAATTTGAAATAAACGATATAAGAATATAGTTCGGAGCTCCTTTTGTAATCTACTGTGTATTTCTTGCAGTAGCTAGACAAACACACGCGTAGCCTATTGAGAGTGCCAACTACTCATACAAAATAAATGAATAATACTGCAATTAAATATTCCATATGGTCATAAGAAACTAATCACATGCTCTGAAAATGTTTAATAATAATAACAACAACCATAATTGAAATTTATACAGCAGCATGCGTGTCAAATCTTTGCTGACTCCGTACGTAAGAGTAATTTACGATTTATTTAAAATAATTTGATATTACATTAGGTTACAAAACTTATTCGTTGGAAATGGTAATTTAAAATGATAATAAAATACTACATTCCAATGAATAAAATCATAACTCAAGGAAATTTAAAGGCATTTTATAGCAAATAATGAATATGTTTTAATAGTTTTTTTTTTTTTTTTTTTTAACATTGCCCACGCTTAAAGAATGTAAGCGAATAATACATGTAAAATAATATCTATAATAATGTGTAAATCGAACATTTTTGCGAATTCTTAATATCCCATATACTTTGGTCGGTTATATTACCTACTTGAAACGTTGAGCTGTTGAGTTTTAAAGTAGCCGTTTAAGTGGAATAACAATTCGTTTTGCGAAGTATCATTGTTCGGTCGATGTCAGTGATAAAAAGTTTCTTACATTGAATACTTATCAAATTGTTTCTTCGCTCATGAATTTCCATCCGTTTCGTTCATCTTGTTTAATGGAGCAAAATAGTTCCTCGATTTGAGAGACTTCAAATGTACTTTCGTTGCACTGATAATTTTCCTCCACTCTTCACTGTCGGTAATATTAATCGTTTACGAGTTTAATATTCTCTTATCCAAGATATACGTACAAACAGCATTGCTAAATTCTGCAGAAATTCCTCACAACCGAGCCTTCGGTTTAGTAAGAAAAAATGTTTCTGTCAGCCATTTGCTTCTTGATTTTAGTTAATTATGGTTTTTTTTTTTTTTTTTTTTTTTTTTTTTTTTTTCTTGACAAAATGACATTTCTATGACAATTGAAATGGTTCGTATTTAAGAGTGACGCTTGTTTGTTTAAATCGGCAAAGTCGAGTTGTCGCATGCGACGATCGAATAAGTAGCGTTTACGACTGCAATATTCCTTAAACTTAATAATAAACTTGATGAAATTGGGTCTTAGGAGAAACAATACGAGTATTAATAAAATAAAAATAAATAAATAAATAATTTAAGTGATCACAAAATATTTGTATAATCGATGCCAATAATTATTAGAAAGCTAGCAAATTTTTTTGTTCTATTTTTCTAAAACTTTAACTAACAAACAAGGGAATACGCGTCCTTAGAATACTAATTTATATCAACTTTATGATAAATTGTATAAAAATCGTGTTTTTACGGGTAAATTCCACCGTGGCCGGATGATCCACTCCAGTGAGTTCCTCGGCAAATCAGGTATTATTCTCTTAAAAATATGAAGGAACCGCGAAGAATAAATGAAAAAATGTGGAGCTCAACGGATCCAGG